ATGAAAAGTTCTCTTTGTCAGGTACTAAAATCTGAAAGATATCATTAGTCAGTTCAAGAACATTTTATATAAAGTCAGTTCATATCTATCTATCTATCTATCTATCTATCTATCTGTGTCAGTCTCTTTATTATCTACCTATCTATATATTGCACTTTCTTCATATCTATCTATATAGTATGAGCTACACAAAGGCCCCTCAAATTAAGTTTCCTGTCATTTTCCATTGCCTTACATTTGTGCGACCACATGACCCCATCAAAGTTAAACTCACAGAAACAGCAAAATATAACTTTTTTACAATGCATATTATATATATATATAAAAACATTTAGTCAAATTAGGTCAATTTAAAATCAAAAAAATACAACCAGTGTTCTAATATATATATATATATATATATATATATATATATATGAAAATATATAGAAAATAGGAAGGAACTGGTTAGGTAAATAATCCAAATCTTAGTATTTTAGTTATTATTTTTAAAAATAGTTCTGATACAAAAGTAGAGCATAATATAATTATTTATTTAAAAATATGATTCAAATCGCATCATATTTTTAAATAAATAATTATATATGATTCCAAATCGAATCATATTTTTAAATAAATAATTATATATATATATATATATATAAAACAAACAAACAAACAGGTAGATAGACATTTTCACACTTCTTGTTGTTAGATCTGTTCATTTAATTTAGATCCCAACCCATTTCCTTACACACAGTTTTGTCTTTCATTTTGACCTGAAGAAACCAAAAGCAACAGACATTCAGTGAAATGCATCATTTATAGCCTTCCACTTTTGATTTGGATACTATTATACATCATACAAATCTATATTCAGATAGATAATTCTATCTATCTATCTATCTATCTATCTATCTATCTATGCTCATATTTTCGTTTATAGTTAGCTATTATTACTAACAAGATAGCTCAAGTTGGATCTTTGTTCATCTATCTGTACCTGTTGAACTGTTTCTTCAGATCTATCTATCTATCTATCTATCTATCTATCTATCTATCTATCCAAGTTCTGTTCATTATCTATCTATCTATCTATCTATCTATCTATCTATCTATGATGGTCTGTTTATGTCTGGTATGTACACTTATATCTTTTTACTTATCTACCTATCTATCTCAGTGTAGTATCATGACAGAATGGGCATTGCAGATTATTGAGTGCTCAATATGGTTAACCTGGCCACTCCCTGCTACTGAACCAATCGTTTTTAATCTGTTCACATCTGCTAATCTACAAGGTATCCAAAAATGACCTTACTATTTTTTGATTTATTATACAAAAAAAGGTATGCAAAAAATTTGACATATCAGATTAATTCCCATTGACATCCAGAACCTTTTGCAAATATGTCTCCAGATTGCTGCGGTGCTAAAAATCAGGTGTCTTGGATGCTAAGAAGTCTGTAAGTGTCTGCCTGATTTTCCACAAAGGTGGTTGTCCATGGAATGAAAGAGGTACTCTGTTGGCACAAGGTTCAGGGTGTAAGATGGATGACACAGTCTCTCAGCTATGTAACTGTATGGTATCCCTGGTAACCCAAGCCACATGAGGCCTGGCATTGTCATGGAGGAAGAATACACCCTTGTGATTAACCAATGCTGGCTCTTTCTGGTTCAGTGCCTGTTGCACATTCTCTGTGAGGATTTGGTCCATTGGTTGTAGTTCATAGTGCACTGATTATTGACTAGTCCACCAGATACTGATTAGGATCTTGTGTGGGTGCAGAGGTGGTCTTATGGTGTGAGGCACAGTGTCTCATTGTGACAACTAATGTCTGGCATGCTTGGAAGTGTCATATAGGACCTACTTTTTGTCACTGATGAGCACTCAGTCAAATATGGGTACATTGCAATGAGAAACAAGAAGCTGCTTGTTGGCTTCAGACTTTTACGCCTTCCCAATGCAGTGCAGGTGCAGTCTGTTTCATCAGAAACCTGGAATCTTTCAGCAAGCTCACCTGCAGGTTTGGTAGTCGTCCTCTATGGCTGCCTTCAGGGCCTCATCATCCAGGACCTGTGACTGTGGGTTAATTACAAAGGGACAGATCTCCTGTCCTGAAATTCTGGAAACAATGTCTGGTGGTACATTCACTCACAGCATTATCCCTCAAAGACTTGACATATTTGAAAACAATGTTACTGTGAACAAGCCCAAGTTAAACGTCAAACAACCGCAAGTGAGCTGCTCTAATAATGCTATGTTTCCTTACTTCTGCTTGAGCTATCAGTGATGTGGCAGTGAATTGCACCCGAATTGGTCAAGAGCAATGCCTAGTCCCAAATCCCCACTAGTTCCCAGCACTTGATGCACTCAATTGCATATCAGCAATCACTTCTTCCCATATGATGTAAAAAATAGCAAGGCCCTTTATGGTTACCTTATATTTCAAATTGTGCAGGTCTGTAGCGAGAAGGTCTTGTGTGCTTATGTGTAGATGTCAATAATCCCATACACATTTATATTATCGCAAATGTAAGAAAATAAGGAACACAAGAACAATAATATTCAAGACAAGAATGTTTGCATAACAATAAATAGAAATTTTTATATAACAAAAGGTAAAAACATTTGTTGAAAAAGTTGTTTAAAACATTGAAATGCCTTTGTTTGTCTGGATTTGAGTTTAGTAATGTTCTGATGAGATAGGTTTTGAGTTGTGGAATAACATGTGTGAACATGAGATAGTATAATACAGTATAATGTGGTCTATGTTAAAATTAAACAGCTTCATATATACGAAAATTGTGTGTGAATGAAGTGGATTTACTTCGTATTTTAACCAGGTTGTCTTTCTTTGATATTTGTTGACTTTTAGTTAGCTTGTGTTGAAAGAGCGATGCAGACTGTTTTAGTGTTAAAAGTTTTTTAACGTATAGTCTGAAATGAAGAATATTGACATGTGCAGTATAGCACTGGGTTGGATTTTCCTACCTCACAGTCCATTTTTGAATTTTGTGTAGTTAATATAAACAGTATATGTCATGTGATAGGCTCCAGAATTTTGGGCACAAATGTACTTTTGCTCGGGTCAAAAATAGAATCAGTACATGTGAATGTAATAATTGATATTTTTCAGCCAATCAGAATGTGTTGTTGTATTATTAAATTTGGAGCCTGTGATTTGGGGTTTTTACAAATGATATAGGGTCTTGATCCTATAGCTCTGTCTGTCAGTTTCAGTCTCTTAATATCCATCAATTTATCTATTTTACTCATTTCATTTCTCTCTTTGTCCCTTTCTCAATCTGTTCATATCTATTTATTTCAACTTGTTTATATCTATCTATTTTATCTATCTGAATATCTTCACTATCTATCTATTTTAACCTGTTCTTATCTAACAAGCTATCACAATCTCTTCATTACCTATCTATCTATCTATCTATCTATCTATCTATCTATCTCAACCTATTCTTATTTATCTTATTTATCAATATATTGCAATCTCTTCATTATCTATCACAGTCTGTTCATATCTATCTATCTATCTATCTATCTATCTATCTATCTATCTATCTATCTATCTATCTAAACCTATTCTTATCTATCTTATGTATCACAACCTCTTCATTATCTATTTCAACTCATTCTTATATATATATATATATATATATATATATATATATATATATATATATATATATATATATATATATATCTTCATCATTATCTCAATTACTTCATTTTCTGTCTATTTCAACCTGTTCTTATAAATCTATCTTGTCTATCTTTCTTACCTATCTATTTCATCTCTCCATTTTCTATCTATCTATCTATCTATCTATCTATCTATCTATTTATCTATCTATCTATCGATCTATCTCATTATCTATCTATCTATCTATCTATCTATCTCAATCTTCTCATTATCTATCTATCTATCTATCTATCTATCTATCTATGTTCATATCTTTTTGTCTATGTACTTCTCTATCTCAGGTTATGCATATTTAAACTTCTTTATATCTATCTACCTGGTAAATAGACATGGATAAAAAGTGTGCCCCCCCCACCTTATTCCAAATACTTACTACAACAAGAAAAGGACATATCAGCAGCTGCTTCACTATTTTTGAAAAATGTCCATGGCTGTTTCTGTAAGGTATGCGAATAGAGCAAAATAAATTCCCACAATGAGTGGAAAAAGAAAGAAGACAGCCATGCATTCTTGAGAATCTTTCTCTTCAGATTCTGTTAAAATCTAGAAAAAATGTAATTCTCCTCATAACATGTTTGACAAAAGGGATGCAAAGTAACGATACAACACTCTCTCCATTGTTCTGTAGATGAAATATGAACGCATATAGATATACCTACACATATATGCACATATATGTGTAAAAATTTTACATATAAATAAAATATATCTATGATAAACAATATAAGTAAAAGAAAATACAAGAGAAAAACATTTTTGGAACTTTATCAAGGTAACAGTTTAACTTTATATATATATATATATATTTCCTTGAGTTCACCCCAAGCAAGGTAGTAAAGTTACTAAGACACAATGGGTTACTGGGTGTGCAAAGAATTAAAAACAGAAACATTACTAAGGAGTGAATACAAAAGAAGATTAATCAAGTGGTAGATAGCGATTGACATGGCATTTAAATTTTTGAAGATTATAATTGGTTGGAAAGCATATAACTGGGAGAGAGTTCCACAAGCAAGAAGTGCAAGAAAACAAACTGTAAGCATAGCTGTAACATGGTCAAAAAATATTGTTAAGTTTTAAAACTTTAAATTGAAGAATGCTCTAAAATATTCTAAAATCCTAATGCATGAAAGAAAGGTAAACTACCTTCTTCTTTTATATGCCATCTCCCTTCAGGACATAGGCAATCATGGCTCTTCATCTCCTCCTGTGCCTTGTAGCTTTTAATAAGTTTTATCCTTTTGCTAATTCGTCCAGACCCTGTTCTGTCATCCATTTGCTTAAGCCTATTAAGTACGT